TTCCCTTCCAAAAAGTTTTTCAGTGTATCGTTAAAGTTCACCGATTCAGCACTTGCCCGTCACAAAAGTCTTGGAACCCACAAACAAAGATTAAACTCTGCTTCACAAAAAGTCAGACAATCCAGCCAAGGAGCTGAAGTGGTTCCCACCCTTCACACTCGCCACACCCCATCAGCCAACAATAAATCCCCTCCTGACATAAAAGTCCTTCTCCCCCACTCACCCCAGAGTAAATCCCCTGTTGGCAGGAAGCCAGACTGAGCAGATGTGTCTGCCACCACTTCCTGGGGTGGGGTCAGGCCGCGCCAGCTTTGATCAACCAAAGGAGGAATTTCCAGTGTCAAGGGCCCTCTGCAAAGACTGCCCCAGGGCCTAGCCCAAGAGGTAAAGGGACCAAGGATTAAAAAGCAACCAGGAGCATCCCAACTGGCAGAGAAGCACAAAAGGCTCATGCACCAGAGAGGTGGTGTCTGGTTCATTTTCTTCATTTCTCTGAAAGTTGTACAAAGACAAATAAAACCTTGTTATATGGCTAGAAGCTTGTTCTGAGGACAGGAAAAGTCTTAGTGATGTTGAGTTTAGTCCTGCCTATTTGTCATTCTTGTCAGTAAAGTACACATGCTGGAAAGAACATTAATCCTTATGCTACCCAAATGCAGATACCGATTAATGTCACTACAAGGATGATTTGACTGGACCCAAATCATGAATCTTCCACGAATCGTTACGTTGGCTCAGAGAAGAAACTTCTACCATTTCCCCACCACTTTCCCTGGAATCACATACTACACTTTCCAGATGAGCCACTGAAGTTGGGCACATCTGACTGCCTTGTTTGGAGCTGTGGCTGCAAAACTGAAGAACCTTAAAAACTAGGGAAAAATTACTCATGGAAATTAAGGAAACCCCCATAGTGAAACAATGACCTTGCTTCAGCCAAGATTTGCTATATTCTGCCACTTAGGATGTCTATCTATCAATCCGTGGTGAATTGTGCCTAGTAGGAGCATATGTATTTCATTTTGTTTGGAGATTTTGTTAGAAAAAGATGAGCACTCTACTGAACAATAATACCACATCTCAATAACCCAGAATTACTTCTTGCCTCGCTCAAAGCCCTGTGCACGTTGGCAGGGATGAGGACGGAGGGAAGGAGAGTGCTCTACTCCAAGAAGAACCTGCTTCTTTCCTTCCAGTGGCTCTGTCATCAGGCCTTACAGTCCTCTGTTGAATTTTCTGCTACTGGCCAGCATCAGAGTAAGACAAAGACAAAGGAACATTGCTTGGAGGTGGTCTCACCACTGTCCTCCACTTCCTCTGACTTTGTGTAACTCCAAGCAAGAAAACTGTCAGGTTTAGTGCCCAGAAGAAAATGTGTGGCTTCCTAATCTCCCTAGAGTTGAAAAATGTTTTGTGTCAAAGTTTTGGATAAGAATTTTCCCAGGAAAAGAAAGGGCCTTTTCCTTCATAAAGTTAGTCTCCTTTCATTATTAGCTTAGACAACAACACATACAGCCTTTTTGTGACAACGTTAAGTATTTACTACAAGAAGTACAAGGGTCAGTGCTGTGTCCCCCAGAGTCTCCTGCACTGAAATCTTGCTGATGCTACTGGAAGGTGGTGGACTCTCCAGAGGTTGAGCCGTGTGGGAGGTCCTTAGCAAGACAGCCCTTGAAGGAGACTGAGGGGCCTTGTGCTCTTCCTCTTTCTCTTTGTTCCTGAGTTCAGGAGGTTTGCAGTTTTCCCCCACCACATGCGCCCCCCGCGCCATGATGTGTTGCCTCAGTACTGGTCCAAACAAAACCGTCTACTCAGTCATGGGAGCCACTCACCAAAACTGTGAGCCTAAATACATCTTTAATTTTATAAGTTAATTTTCTCCTGTATTTTATTATAGTAATGGAAAGCTAACACATCCAGATAGAAGGAAACTGGGAAGCTTTATACCACAGACACACACACACACACACACGAGATCATAATTTTGCCTGCAGTGCCTACAGTTCCCTTCACACACTTAATTTTCACTGGCAGTTGAAGAGCTTTGCAGGCAGATTCAAGTTTGTGGCACCATGTTCTAACCTATATATTTTAACATAAAATGAAGGTTTGGTCTATTGTTCATAGCTATCAAATTTGATTTTGTATGTAAGAGGTGCAGGGAGTTATAAAAAACAGAGATGGATACCTACAGGGATTAAGTTTCTTTGTTTTGAAAAGTAACTGCTATATTAAATGGTGATAAGATTTAAAAGTGTGAAAGAAAATCTCTATCAATGAGTGATAGTTTGCTTTGGATTTGGTGTTAACCCTTCAGGGTATGGGCAGGTTGTAACAAAAAGGAAGAGGGGGAAATGAAAAAATGTTGTGTCTCTTCTTTACCCATTTTCCCTCTTTGTTGTCTTGAAAGAAATAGGCCAAGAAGCCAGTCAAAGACATGATGTGTATGCAGGGAGGAATACACAGTAGGTTAGGGAAATGGTCACACTGACAGGAGAATCAGGTATGTTAAATAAATAAACAAGTTGACTGACCAAAAAAATACGTTGAGGAACTAAATTTTCCATTGCTAGAGGAGACAATTACAAACAGAGAGGAGAAAAATAGAAGGGTGAGGGAGGTACTAGACTGGAAATGGAGGTAGCCATATGAACTCACAGCACATATATCAATATATAGGCATACACACATATGTGTGCACAGACATATATATTTATACATATCTAGATATGTGTTTGTGACAGATATGTGCACACAGATACAAATATAAAGACATGTGTACAGCATTACTTAATGCTGATTAATGTTTTATATACAATATGGGCATATATGCACCTATAGTTTTTAGCTCAGTTCAGTGAGAATGCCTAGAATCAACGATGCCCCCATAACAGTACATTTCACACCTAGGTCTTACCTTCTAACACCATCCTCTACCAAATTAAATCAGGGATGCTTTAAGAAATTCTAGTGTACAAAGATAAGTCAGGAAAAACATAAGATAAGCCCTGAAATACACTTTTGTGCCAGAAATGAGGAAATAATAAATGAATATGTATATAAAACAAAACAAAACAAAAACATCAGAACCAAAATAAGGACATAGGAATTGGCTAGAAGAGGTTAAATCAAAGAATTTTAGTGTTAACATGAATAAAGGTGTTAGTATATTAGTCCACATGCATCAGATAGGAAGATAAATAAATCAGTGGGTAAAAAAGAGCTTCTATATGCTGGAATGCCAACTAGCAAATGTAGAAAGAATGACAGAAACAGAGAATTGCCACTTGCCAAGTATCACAAAGGTGGATGATTCAGTCAGGAGACTTTAGAGCATGCTAACACTGGTGGTTAAAGTCTGACATGGAACAGAACTGTGGCTTAACCTTACACTATTTCTCCAGAATACATTAGTAGGCAATTACAAAGAGCAAAAATATGCATGTAAAGTGAAGAAATCTGACAGACACCAGCATTATCAGGTGACCGCAATTACTACATCTAGTAATGAGATGCCTTCTGCTTTGATACACTGATAACACACCACTTCCGGGATCTCTTACAAAAACTCATGACCCAGGTCTTGTCATTATGAAATCGCTGATGGAACTGTGTGTAGAGTCAAGATGTAAAACGAGACACCAGAACTCTTTAAACTATCAAGGACAAGAAGAACAAGGAAAGTTTAAGGAAGTACACCAGGCTGAAGTAGTCTGAAAGTACATGATAATTGATGTCCAAGGATTTCTGGGTAGGATCTTGCATCAGAAAGAAAAACAAGATATTTTTGAGAGTGTCAGTGGAATTGAATGAGCTCATGAATAGATGATAGTGTTGTCTCAGTGTAGAGTTCTTGATTTAGAATGTTGTATGACTTGTTTGGGGCAATGTCCTTGCTTGGAAAATATAATTTACAATGCTCCGGGGTTATGGGACATCATTTTACAATCTCTTCTCAAAAACTTCGAGGAAAACCATTGTGACAACAGGTTTAGAAGTGAGTGACTGTGTGAACATGATAGCTGGCTACCATTTGAGGAACTAAGTGAGGGAAAACAGAAGTTATTTTTAATATGATGGCAAATTTTTTAAAGTTTGAGATTATTTAAAAAGAAGTAATGAATGAAAACATCCTCCCTTTAAAATTGAGTGTCTCTAGATTTCCAATTGTTCTTGCTTGGTTTATTTTTACAAACTTCAACAATATTGTGAATTATTTTTAATTATGTCTTGGCTGGACTTTTTGATATGAAATTCCATTTCAAGGCTGGATTTGTCGAATCCAAGATTTAAATTGTATCGTAATATCTAACGTTTATTAAGTACATATGAACCTTTGTTTACTGATCATATTCAACTGTTACTGAACATGGCTTGGCTGCATATGACAGGAAAATCAACAGTAGCTTCTACAAACTTGAAGTGAATTTTTCTCACTTCTGAAGGACACCTGAAGAGAGTGAGTTCAGTGTACACTTTTGGCCCCCAGCCTTTTTTCTTTTTGTTCTGAAATCTTTAACACATAATTTACATTTCTAAAGTCAGCTCAAAATCCAGTATGACTGCTAGAGCTCCAGCCTCTTCTCTGCATTTACAGGTAACACTGAAGAAATGACAGAAGTGCAGATGCAGGACTGTTTTCCTTGAGTTCGTCTTCACATACACCCGGTTATCACTTCCATCGTGGCCAAAACTGTTGCATGTCCGTACTCCGTGGTGCAGGAGCTTGGTGCATATCATGATTTTGCTGTGCCCATTTCTCTGATTTCTATTAGTGAAGTTTCTTTGATCTTTGGAAGCTGCTAGCAATCTCTGCCAAAGAGAGTATTTATCCAAGGTCCCTCAGCTAGTAAACTAAGGAAACTCAGGTAGCTGTCCTTTGTACAAAGTTTGAGCATTTAACAAACAGTAAACTAGTATAGATAGCACTCTGGGCTCCACTAGCAGCAGCCCACATGGTCAGTAGTCTTCACTGACCTGGCCTTGACATTGACATCCTTGTCCAGTTATGGCCTCAAGGTCACCCAGGGTCTCAGTTAAAGGAGCTGGCAGGAATCAAAACTACAAAGAAAAAAGAATATCTGAGCACTGTTTGTTAAATGAGAGAATGGCATAGCTGAGCATACATGAAATGTTTTTGGCCATCACTGGTGAGAAAATTTCACCTTAGTGAATGGGGTTAAGTGGCTGTTAGCATGGTCCTTCTTATCTGAATGGATCCTGGGGTGTGGCCATTGAAGCATGAAAGATGAGGAGATGGAGAGGAAAACTTCAGAGTATTTTTCCAGAGGGGGAGGCCTGAACAGAGTCATAGAATATGGAAAACTATTTGGTCTTGTTCTTTCTTGCACACATGTCAAACCTCTCTCGAGCCACACTATTCTAACTTTCTTCTAAGTTACAAACACCTATACGTACTCCTGGGGTTCTTCAGAGAGTCAAAGTCTTTATCTCAATTCTAAGGTCCTCCATAAATGCCTGGATGAATCTTCATGAAAGGCTGCCACACAATGGTTGTCTGACACTAGACCCTAAGCCTTGTCCTAGTAAATTACCTGGAGAGAAAGAAGACCATCTCTAAAGCTGCTTTATTCATGCTCTGTATAATTTCACTTTCATAATGAAATCTTTTCAAGCCAGAGGAGAGAAAAATAAAATCTCCTCAAATAATCCAAAGTTGGATTGCTCTTGGCTATTTCCAAATCTAAAAGAATCAGCCAAAAGAGTTTCAATCAAACCTTTTTTTAAAAGCAACAACAACAACAACAAATTTCCCCTGAGTATAAGGTTGTGAAGGTCAAGGTCTAACCTGATGTAAACAAAAGTGTCTCAGTAGAGCAGAGTTAGAGGTTAAATAAATGTTTCTGACAACAGAGATTTAAAACAGAACCATTAAAAATAGATTTTGCAGCCTGTGTAGGAAAAAACAGAAAAGAAAAAGTATTGCAATCCAGTAGAGACAATGTATCTAAATGTGTAACTTGACTTAGTGCAATTATCTTGAATGTTATATATATTCTTTGGGCTATTAGTCTGGTTTTTGATTTGTATATATAACTAACTTTAGAAGGACTTATATGATAAATAAATGAATCATGCTGGAAAAATAAAGGGGGTGGAGGAAAAAGGAAAAAAAGAATAGAAATGTGTTATGTGCATGAACCAGTCTCCTACCGCCATGAATATCCTCAATATCTATTGCAAACAAATACTAAAAGTCAAAAAGAAAAGGAAAGAAAAAAGATAACAACTGTCTGTAATCTTTTTTCTCTGATCTCTGAGAAATACTGTTTCAAGAACATATTTCTAGAAACTAAAAAAGTAGACTTGAGCGTCAACATATGAATGAAAAGTTCTAAAAAACATGTAGGAAAAATATATTAAATTTCATTATTTCTTAACTATTGTGATAAGATGTACAGGCCTTAAGTTTTATTCTTAAATTGTTTTGGTCTTTTACAAGTGAAATAGTGACTCCTGATGACAAAAACGGATACACAAAAATCACCTGTTATCCAAATATCTCCTAAACATTAATTTATATTAATATTTTAGAACATGTTCTGTTCCTCCTTTATGCTGTAAATACACTGACATGTATACATGTATCACAACTTCTTCCAGTGAGAATCGCACCTCATAGCCCGTGCCGCAACTTCCTTTCTCACTTAGGCCAATGCAAGCATTCTCTTCTGTAGCATGACTGTCTAAGCATTATGTTTAATTACTACAGGTAAGTCTTTCTCACATATGTGCACGTATCTCTTCTTTCACAACTATCTTATCATCGTTGGAGCATATATTATTTTCCAGTTTTCCCTATTGTCAAGCCTGTAATTTATATTTTCTACATGAAATTTTGTGTTGATCCCAGTGTAATGGATCACATTGTATAATTTAGCTCCTTGGGGTAGATTTCTAGAAGAGTAATTACTAGGCCAAGCGGTGAGAACATACTTAGGAATTTAGAAATCTATTTCTAAAATGACATCCAGAAGAGCTGTTCCAGTACCCCCCACACAGACGGGGTAATGTCCTCTCAGCCCTATACATGAGGGTATATAAAGGTGCGTATACCTCTATTTTAGTGAGTAAAATATTCTTGTTTGCTTACTTTCTAATGGAGTTAGACACCTTTTCCACATAGTTCATATCTTTTGTTTTACTTTTATTAGTACCTGTTTGTGGTACATACTGAGGGCATTCACTGTAGGGAATTGGTAAATGCACATAACACATTTTTATTCTTTTTGCCCCCTTCCCTCTACCCACCTTCTGGCATCAGATTCATTTATTGATCTTATAAGTCCTTATAAAGTTAATTAACATGTATACAGTTTGAAAACCAGACTAATAGGCCAAAGAACATATAAAGACGTAAGACAAGAGTATTAAATCAAGGCACATATTTTAAAGTTTATTTTTTGATTCACTGCCTCTTGACATCTTTGTTTTCTTATAGCACATTTTTACTTTTACATTAATTTGTTAGAAATTGTATATTCCAGGTAGCAAATATTTTCATTATTTTTAATCTGCTTAATTACTTTTTGATGATTATTTTGTCATTACTGTCATTATACAGAAAATTTAAGTTTTTACATAATCAAATCTCAACCTTTTCATTGATTTACCTGTCTATTTATAATGACCTAGTCAATCTCTAATTGGATAAGTGCTTAGTTTTGTTCCATTGGGTCCTTTACATTTTAGTTACATGATGGCTTAAGAAATAGCAAAACACTCTAGCCTGGGGATCCGTATGTGATAGTTCACTCTGCTGAGTGTGGTCATGGTCAAGGGAATTAACCAACATGTTCCAGTTTCTGAAAACTGATGAGATTTCTGATACTATAAAAAGGAAGTAGAAGGGAAAAATGATTTCTGAACAATGGGGGAAGATATTTCTTTTAGGTAAAAGTCAGTGTAATATTTATGACCCTTGCTAGAGCCAACCCTGAAGATCTGAGAAAGAGGACCCATTTTCAGAAGAAAGAATCTGCAGTAATCATTAGAAGAAAGGGACTCTACACAAGGCAAATAAAGTTCACTACAGATATGTAAAGAGCTGACAACACAACTGTATTTAAAAGCTCACCTTTGAGAAATTGCTTTTAAAAATAGAAGACTTGCCTTGCCTGCTGTGGAAACCTCCATGGAAGAACATGAGATTTGAATTACTATTGAGAACAGTGTGGAAAGCACAAGACCAGCAAATAATGCAAAGAGATACAAACACAGGGAAAGATTTTTTTAAATAGCCAGAGCTGTTTGTATGCTACATTCGGCTACCAACTTTACCAACACCCAGCAGGTTTGTAGTTGGACAGTCATTATAGTGTCATTTGTTAAAATTTTGTGCAAGCTTAAATTTTATCCCATAGCATAGGTCTGTCCTCCATTTTTTCCTAGTGTTTTACAATGAGTAATTCAAAGCACTCACTCAAATATAGTCAAAAGCAATATTCTAACCCACGTGTTTTTCTGTGACATCCACCATCTTGATTTAAGCACCAGGAATGGAAACACTTAAGTAAAGAAATCTCCATTCTTTTTTTTTTATTTTAAAGAGAAAAAAAAAAAAAAAACAATACAAAATTTCAAAACAAGATGATAGGAAATTAACAATGGTTATTATATTCTTAAGAGTACCTGCTCAGATTACCAGGTATAGGCATGCAAAATTGATCAAACAATATAAGCACTGATTCCTTACAATGAACTAATAGAAATTAATAGTACAATTATCTTAGCTATCTTGCATAAAAATATATATATTTTCCTTTCCCTTCCTTTTCTTTTTTCCCGAACCTAGGTGGTCTTTCCTTTTGAGCAGTTTCTTTCCCTTTCACTATATCTATTGTAACTTTTGGATCTTATTTACTCTTGCAGTTTCTTATGCTAGGGAGACAGTATGATGTTTTCACATGCAATTCTGATTTATTTCACTTATGAGTATGGTCTTTAGTTGCATACATTTCAAAAAGAAAAAAGAAACTGAAAAAAGACATCTCCATTCAGAAAAGTACAGAGGAAAAGCTGATCACAATCTGGCAATGTCACGGTGACACTAAACCAGGGAGTCAACTGCCAGCTGGGTTCTGAAGTGGTATGGTTCTGAGTGTGATAGTGTCAGAGGAAATCATCTAGGTAGAATATGATGTAGACAGTGTAGTTATGAAGTGCTCAGCCATTGGTATCAGAACAGGCTTCAAACAGAGCCTTTTTACTTTCTAGCAGAAAAATCTTATACAAGCTATTTAATTTCTCTGAGTATTAGATTCCCAATCTGTAAAGTTGTGTTACTATTGTCAACATCACAGCATTTACATGAACTACATCAGATTATGTATACTAGACACCTAACAGGCATCCTGTCACATCCACAATTACTTAGTGGCTCAGTAAGTGTGGACTATTCCTACAATTATAAACAGCAAATGCAGAAAATTAATAAGTATTGCTAAACTAGCTCTACATAAAAATTCAAATGAAATAATCAGAGTTTAATATCTGCCTATGAGCAATAACTGACTAGCATTCCATAAATTAGAAGAGCTCTCACGCAACATGGTATTGTGAAATTTGGGAGAAAATGAAACTATAGTCAAAATTTCAACTCATTAATAATATCATTTAAAGTTTGCTTGTTCATGACCCTGCTAATGACTTCTTATCTTTGCACAGAAAATCAGACATGGATTCGTGGTTCAATATTTATGAAGCCCTTATCATGTCTTTGGAGTTACACTAACTGTTCTCACTGAAATTTTCATTGATGAGCACTACCACTGGTCATATTGTGTGCAAAATGGATCCAAATCACCAGGGATTTAAGAACGCATGTGAAATTTGATATCAAGTATATGGTTAAGTTGGAATTTTTGTGCAAATCCTTTTGTTTCAAACTTGACACCCTGTCCATAGACCATGAGGCAAACAGGAATTAATCTGTTGTAAATTGTCCAAACTCAAAATTCTTCTTCCTTTATGGAACTGGAAATGTAAATAGAAAAAGAAAAACATATAATCCAAGCCACCTATTCAGAAACTAGGGAAGTCATTTCAAAATTCTACCTGAGTCTTTGTAGAGCTGGAGGAGGAGGAGCCACTGAAAGGTGTTTGGATTTTTTCAATTGTTGTTGCTGTCATCTGTTTGGTTTTGTGTTCACAGGAAACTTGAGATTCAGGGCAAATCAAAAGAAACAAATTGGTTGTTGTAATAGCAATAATCTGTGTATAAATATGCATCTCTCTTTAAAAATTTATAATGAAAAATTTGATAATGTTTTTCATTTGAAAAAATGTAGAGATAAAGACACCTGCACTTTCACAGGAGAGATTTCTCGAGAGCCAGGTAGTTCTTCGGTGGCCAACGGCCACTTTGGCCTTTTCTGTAGGGTACTTATTTCAGACTTGGGATACATGCTACAGAAGGAGCAAAACAGATGAAGATTTGCCTATGTGTTGAAAGGCCATTCTGTAAGGAAGGTAAGGAACTCACACAGTTAAAGTACAAGATTCAGATGTTCATAGTAGAGGATGCCGGTATGTTCCAAAGGTTTTAAAGATATAAACTTGGGGCTGGGGATTTAGCTCAGCGGCAAAAAGCACCTGCCTGGCAAGTGCAAGGTCGTGAGTTCGGTTCCCGGTACCGGAGAAAAACCAAAAAATAAATAAATAAATAAATAAATAAAGATATAAACTCTGGTTCTTGAACTAAGAGATAGTCATTAGGTATGTACAGTTTTAAATACCTTCACTTATGTTGCAATATCTAACACAATTTCCTGGAATAGTGCAGGAAGGCAGGGATGAAGCCATCTGAGGAAAGAGACTCACCATGTGTTCATTCCCGCGAGGTCCTCTGAGAGTTAGCAGGAGTTCTTCACATGGGTGACTATTTCCTGCCCCTCTGCTGAGAGAAAAGTCTCTGCAGAAATAAGGCAAACTCTCTCTCCCTCTCCCCAAATACTTTAGAAGCATTTAGGGGGAAGGAGCAGTGAGAATTGATTGAAAATACTGACCAGTATTGACCACAAATAATTCTACCCCACAGATTTGAGAAATTCCATCCGCCAGGAAATAAAACACTGGCATGGAGGGAGTGTTCACAGCAATTACAGTCACTGTGAAATACAGTTCATTTTCAAAACTGCAAGGTAAAAGGAGCACTTTAAAGTTGGACTCTGCTTTTCCTGAACTACACAGTGTTTATCTGAACTATAAAAGAGAAAACGTTGACCCTCTTGTCACTCCCTCTGAACCTAAAAGGCCATCTGAAGGAAAACAGGATGTGGCTAAGAACAATGACACCTCTGCAAACCACGAACAGAGCCAACAGATGGATAAAGCCCGGGTATTTTTCCGAATGCAGGAAGAAAAGCATGGACTGCAAAGAAGAACAATGACTGGGGAAGTACTGTTGTTAATTCTGCCCACAAACCAAACATCTCTATCTTCCCGCTCTGGCGAGAACATTGTCACCTGATGCTACCTAGAAATGATCTTCTATGTGTCACATGCTGTCATGCCTCTGAGGGGACCCCTGTGTGGCTTCTCAGGCCCATGGCCATTATTGTGTGCTTTTAAGTGATACATTTGTTAAATTATTCCAAACAGGGAATCTCTAATCACACAAATCACACAGCATATTATATACATATATATATATATATGTAAAATGTGCATGAGCATGTGTGTATGTATGTGCATGTTTATGAGCATGTGTGTGTACAACCAGGGATACTTACATTCAGTGAGGTAAGAAGAATCCACAGAAGGTAGGGGCATTGTTAACAGCTATATAGTTAAAACCATTCATGTCTTGTTTAAAACATTTTGCAGCAAGATTTGATAATTCTGTTAAAATGTGTGGAATGAGTGCAAGAAGCTGTGAGGAGAAGATATTTTGCAGTTTTCACAATTGCTGTCACCTGTGAAAATGAACAAGGAAAAAATCAATTCCAATCAATAAAGCAGTAACAATGCATTAAGATATTACTTTCTCTAACACTCAGCTCTTTCCTCCAGCTGTATTTCCTTTAAATACCCTTAATCTAGGTACAGGAGCTTTAGCATGTGAGGCAGTTGTAAAAGAAGACATAATCATTTTAACCTAACGAATTTAGAACATTAGCTCAAGAGCAAAATTTTAAGCACAATCTATTAAATTTACTATTTCTACTATTCATCAATTTAACTGATCATTACAAATAAGTACTATATAAAGGCAACAGCAAAGGCACACTAAATGAGAGAGGAAAGTGAAACTATGCAATTTGAAGAAGTCAGTTTAAAAAGTGCTTTTTTTTTTCCTCCCCTCCACTCTTTCGTATCACTTGTAAAAAATAATTAGAAATTGTAAAGCCAGTATAAAGGTTCAGATCCCAGCATGTGAATAGACTATTCATGAACAAGTTGGCTTGTTCTTTTTAAGGGTCACAAAATACTTAACAGATATTGCCATTAAATCTAGGAGGAAAATAGTGGCAGGGATATTTCTTTTTGGATCCAGAAGAGGTTAGGTTGGTGGTCCTATCGCATAAACCATTGCATATAAGCCATATAGTGACTTCCTACTACTGACCTAGCCTTTCATTTGAATCTGACACTTTAAGGCAGTTTTTCAATGCTTCTGATTGTCAATACTACTAACAAGTTATATGTTACTTGAGGGCACAAAGTGCTTGTTCTGTATCAACTGCTCAACAGCTGATCAATGAAAGGTAAAACATTTGCTCAAAGCAGTACTTTTAATTTTTTACCTCATGTCCAATTTTTGATTTGACACTTACTTTCTTTATATTTCCAACTGAATTTGTCTTCACACAAAAAACTGACAGGCAGCTTATTAAATCTCAATGCCCTCTCTCACTAATTAGTTTTGTTATCCAAGTATGCTTCTTATTTGGAATTCAGTTTTGATGTTTTTATTATTTTCTTTGCCATCCTGGCACTGAAGTAACCTGTCTGTATTGTGCTAAAAAGATGTTGCTGATGAAGAAAGAAAAAAAAGCTTGAAATGTATGTGCTCTGCGAGTTCTTATATTTTGTTGCTGGAACACTTTGAAATCTTCCAGTTTTACACAGCAACTGTCAGCAGAAGGGACAAACATGATTTATAGATAGAAATGAAAGTCTAAATTTCTGTGTTGCCAAGCTGCTCATTTTAAAAGCACAGTGAGCTTCAGGAGAAGTAAATCCACGGGACTGGAAGCTTCCACTAGTTTCCCAAAGTGTGAATGGTAAGCGGTGTTCCTCTACAGCGAATGACTTTTGTTTACATCATCGATCATGTGCAGTGAAAATGTCTCAAATGTCACCTTTTTCTTTAAAAAGAAATAATTACAGTAATCTTTGGGGTATTGAGTATTAAATATCCAATCCTTTCTTTTACATTTTTGACAGCCTCTAAAATTATGTGCCAGTTGGCACTATAGTCATGGTTTTGAAGACTAAAGTTCAAAAAAACATAATGCAACGAACTGAAATTATTTCCAAAGGTACATTAGATAATAATGATAGTGATATATGTGCCAGTGAAGAAAAAGAGACATTGACCTTATTTCTACAAAATAAAAAATTATCTTGGGAAAATGAATAACAGACTATAATTAAAATAACATTTCATCCACCAAAAAGCAAACTAAAATCAAGTTTCTTATTAAAAGGTAATAATGTGGACCTCTAGAAAAGCAGATCAGAAATGGAGGATCTCTCCCAGGATTTCTTTGTTATACACTTCCATCATCCCTGGTCCTTCTTGGCCATATTCAGTAACCAACAGAAAACAAAATTGGAGGTGGATCAAATTTTGTCTGCGGCATCTAATACTCAGATTCACGCTCTCTTGCCCTAGTATCACTCTGGACTGCTGTGACCGTACTATTGTTTCTTCACCTGTCATTTCTCAGTTTTGCAGTCACATACAGCTTAGCGCTGCTGTTGAATTTTTTGACCTTCCATCTAAACTGTATATTTTCTAGTATTGGTGTTAGCAGACAACAGCTAACACCAAGTATCCACGAGGGGTTAGTGTTTAGTTGGAGTGTTTTACTCACCCAGCTCCATTAGTATCCCTGTTTTAGACATTAAAAGCAGGCTCACAGAGGTCCGGCCACTTGTCTGCAGTCACATCTAGCAAGAAGTAGAGCTAGGATTTGTGTACAGTTGATGTCCTTTATCAAAATTCTTTACTCCTTCAGAGAAATCTCTACTTAGAACTTACGTATTCTCTGAAAATTTTTACGATGCTCTTGGTTGCAAAGAGCCTTCATATTTGGCTCTAGGGATCTAGATTTCAGTAAAGAGGAGATATATAGTTGGATTTAGTCACAGACACTTAGTAAATTCATTCCTCTCACCTAATATTGGAAACCAGAGTCTTGCCTTAGAAAATACATTGTCATTCTCTGAGATACTTTAGTTGATGCAAGAAGAATTTAGTATGTCAACTGAAAGAGAGCATACTGAGTGAGAAGTTGGAAGGACCACTGAGGTCAGAGATATCTGTAGCTCTAGACCAATCATGATGGGTAGCCAGCTGCTATCTCTCTGAGGCTTTACTTTACTATCTCTCTCAGACTTTATTTTACTGTTAGCCCATGCTACTATCCTCTGGAATTAATGCTTTGGAGAACAGACTGAAAATGCTGCTAAATTCATAAATCAGATAAGGTTCTTAGTATTTGATGACGTTGCATTTAGGGAAGAGTTTAGATTTATTGAGCACCTGTTGTTTAGAAGGCCCTGTGTTAGGTGATTTATGTCCTATTTGAATGTAATACTCAAAATAAGCTGCTATGGCTTAGCTATGGCTTCAGTGTGCTCCCTGAAGATTTTCATGAGCTGAAAATTTGGTTATTTGTGTGGCAGTGTTGAGATGTAGTGGAAGCTTTAAGAGATGGAGCCTAGGGAGAAGATGTCAAGTCACTGAGGATGCTACTCCCAGAGAGGATCGATATGTTTAAGGTACTCAGAATAGTTCTCATGAGCGTTGGTATTTTAAAGAAAGGACAAGGGGCTGGGGATTTAGCTCAGCGGCAAAAAGCACCTGCCTGGCAAGCGCAAGGTCGTGAGTTCAGTTCCCGGTACCGGAGAAAAAAACAAACAAACAAAAAAAAAAAAAAAAAAAAAGAAAGGACACACTATTACCTTAGCATTTTCTGCACGTGTGCTGTACCCTTTCTGTTTTCTACCGTATTGTGAATCAACCAAGGAGTCCTGCTCTGGAAGCCAAATGAATGGGGCCATTGGATCTTGAGCTTCCACCCTCTAAAACTGTGTCCTAAATAAAAATAGTTCTTTTCTTAATAAAGTACCCAACATCTCATATTTTACTATATCAACAGAAAATAAACTAATATAGAAGTCTATAAAATAGATGTTATCTTCATTTTATAAACAAGCAAACTGAAGAGAACATTTTACTTTCAAAGGTTACTACATGATCATCCTCATAAACCCTTTAATTTCCACTACTCGACTGTAGTACTTACTGTATAAGGTTATATTAAAATCCCTATTTTTCAGAGTTGATGAAATTTCATTTTAGAAAAGTTGCATATCTTATTCAATGTAGCAGGTCAAGCAAGGAGTCAAGATTCAAACCCAGTTCTATCTCATTCCAAAACCTTAACTGAAAGATACTCTTAACTGTAATTCTTGGGGCGAGGATTTTGCTCAGTGGCACAGTGCCTGCCTGGCAAGTGTGAAATCCTGAGTTCAGTTCCTGACACTAAAAAAAAAACAAACCCTGTTGTTCTTAACTGACTGATACTCTAATATAACTTAACTTCAAGAACATAAATCATTCATGTACTATTTTTAGTGTAGGAAAAGAGGCAATCTTGGCTCAGGGTCATATAGAAAAGAATGAAAATTAGCTCTGCAGTTACATTAACTGTCTATTTGACATCTCTGTTGATGTATAAGTAATATATGCAAGGATAAACTATTTCTCCCAAATTACCTACAGCTTCTCCCATGTTGGTTGAAAGCAAATCCATTCTTTTATAGTACTTGCAGAAGCTATGCCATCTTGGAAATCATCCTTGAGTCTTTCTTTCCCATCAAGCAAATCCAAACCTTCAGGATGCCAATCTGCTCTCTTTTCATAATAGGCTACAACAAAGCCACTTTCCATCTCCGTTACTACTTACCTATTCCCAGAAATTCTTGCTTACTTGGAC